AGAGACAGACACAGAGAGAGACAGACAGACAGAGAGACAGACACACAGAGAGACAGACACACAGAGAGAGACTGACACAGAGAGAGAGCCAGATACAGAGAGAGACAGACACAGAGAGAGACTGACACAGAGAGAGACAGACACAGAGAGAGAGACTGACACAGAGAGAGACAGACACAGAGAGAGACAGACAGACAGAGAGAGACACACAGAGAGAGACTGACACAGAGAGAGACTGACACAGAGAGAGACAGACACAGAGAGAGACAGACAGACAGAGAGACAGACAGAGAGACAGACACACAGAGAGACAGACACACAGAGAGAGACTGACACAGAGAGAGAGCCAGATACAGAGAGAGACAGACACAGAGAGAGACTGACACAGAGAGAGACAGACAGAGAGAGACAGAGAGACAGACACAGAGAGAGAGACTGACACAGAGAGAGACAGACAGAGAGAGACACACAGAGAGAGACTGACACAGAGAGAGACAGACACAGAGAGAGACAGACAGACAGAGAGAGACTGACACAGAGAAAGACAGACACAGAGAGAGACAGACACAGAGAGAGACAGACAGACAGAGAGAGACAAAGTCTCTTGAATGATCAATAAATGGCATATGTTACACTATTTTGTGTTTCCAGAAAGAAATTGAAAGTTTAGGTGATGATTTTAACAGTGCAACAAAATTAAACAATATAATTATAGGAGCAGTAAGCAAATTTGTTAGCTTAAGCGTAACACCAACTGGAAATCACTCCCCCTCCCCTCCCTCTCCACCAAACCAAACATCCAGCATTTTCTTTTCTTTGTCACAACAGGGAGAGTGAAGCAAATGTGAAATTGTCATTCTCTGTTCAGACATTTTAGGTTTTAGAAAATCTGATAACTCTAGTGCACTCGCGAGAAACAGGAAGAGGGTGAAGGGTAAACACATCCCATTGGTTCGTTGGAGATGAACGAATCCCATTGGTTTATTTTTATTTGTCCACTCCAAAACATTTTTTATTCATTTTTGTAGACTATAGACATCTGGTCAATTCCGTTACTATTTGAAAACACATGATTACTTGATACTTTTAGGGTTTAGGGACATTTTCCCACAATATTTAATTACAAAAAACTCTGGAAAAAATCACAGACTGGAACTTTAACACATCCATCCATTTTATTCTCTTTAATCTATTTCTGGATTCAGAGGAGAATTAAAACAAAACAGCATGTTAAAGATGATGTAGGATGATCCGGGGCTGAACTACAGACTCACAAAAGCATCGTCCAAAAGTGAATAAAACCGGACGGGGAAACTTGCCATGAATAAAGTTACATGTCCATCCATCCATCCATTTTCTACCCTTTAATCCATTTCTGGGTCAGGGGGGTGACAGTCAGAGATGCCACCCAAGTCTCATAGCACCAGCCCCTCACTGACCCTCTGCAGGTGGTGAGTCCACAGGAGGACGGCTGCTCTCTGAGTGTGAGCATAGCCTTGATCTTTCAGTGGGGGCTTTGGGCAAAGTGGGGTTAAGTGTCTTGCCCAAGGACACAACGACAGCAGACATCAGTGGGAGTCGGTGGAGAAGGTGTAGAGGTGGGAATTGAACCCACGACCTTCAGGCCCGAAGGCCAATGCTCTACCAACTGAGCTACTGTCGCCCCAGTTGTAACATGTAAAGTTACATGTTCTCAATCTAAATCTTCAAGTCTTGGTGTTTTGCTCAAATTATTACCAAAATAATAGACTTTTCCTCCTTCATGAACTATAGGCCGTGTTTCTCATTTTAACCTGCAGTCAACAGAATAAAATCCAGTTTGTAAAGATCAGTGCGTGTGCGGAGACTATAGATCTGACAGAATCAAAATGCAGCGAGAGAGAAACAAAGGCCAAAGGCTTTTATTCTCAAATGGGAAATAATACCATCAAGAGAACGCTGTGTTCCCGAAGTTCAGCCAGACTCAGGCCCAGACAACAAAGCAGCTCACGGCTCCACATCCAGGAAACTCTCTGAATAAAAAACTAATATTCAGTAAAGTTTGTGTATATATGATATGTATTTTGTCATTTCAGAAATAATGAGGTAGCTAACTCTCAAACCTCAACAAAGTAAATGAAAACAATTTGGTTCTATCACTAGTACTTATGTTTGGCATCTGTCTCGTCTAAAGTGGTAAGAAAATGTTTGGGCACCCCGTTATATTTTGAGGATTTTCCTTTATAAATTATTAGATGTTTGGATAAGATAAGATAGACTTTATTGATCTCAGATGGAGAAATGTACACGTCTCAGATAGAATCGCTCAGATTTGTGCCAAAGACTGAAGTGTGCATGCTAAAGGTTAAAAATACAGTCTGTGCAGGATCTAATTATGTACAATATAAAGTGTCAATCAAAGAAACAGTGGAAAAAGTAGTGCAGGTTTTTAATCCTAGTGCATAAGTAACTTAAAGTGACTTATTGTACAGTCTGACAGCGGTGTATGTTCTCAATCTGCTCCTTCTTCCACTGAAGGAGCTCCTCAGCTCCTCCTCAGTCCTGTGGGAGGTGTTGTCCATGATGGAGGTGACTTTGACTAGCACCTATTTTCCCTCACGGCAGAGGCTACCACAGAGTCATAAGAAGTCATAGACAGAGGCTCACTCTGAAGGACATCAGCCTCCTCTGAAGGACCTCAGCCTCCTCTGAAGGACCTCAGCCTCCTCTGAAGGACCTCAGCCTCCTCTGAAGGACCTCAGCCTCCTCTGAAGGACCTCAGCCTCCTCCGAAGGACATCAGCCTTCTCTGAAGGACCTCAGCCTCCTCTGAAGGACCTCAGCCTCCTCCGAAGGACATCAGCCTCCTCCGAAGGACCTCAGCCTCCTCTGAAGGACCTCAGCCTCCTCTGAAGGACCTCAGCCTCCTCCGAAGGACATCAGCCTCCTCCGAAGGACCTCAGCCTCCTCTGAAGGACCTCAGCCTCCTCTGAAGGACCTCATCCTCCTCTGAAGGACATCAGCCTCCTCTGAAGGACATCAGCCTCCTCTGAAGGACATCAGCCTCCTCTGAAGGACCTCAGCCTCCTCTGAAGGACCTCAGCCTCCTCTGAAGGACCTCAGCCTCCTCTGAAGGACATCAGCCTCCTCTGAAGGACATCAGCCTCCTCCGAAGGACATCAGCCTCCTCTGAAGGACCTCAGCCTCCTCCGAAGGACATCAGCCTCCTCTGAAGGACCTCAGCCTCCTCTGAAGGACATCAGCCTCCTCAGAAGGACCTCAGCCTCCTCTGAAGGACCTCAGCCTCCTCTGAAAGACATCAGCCTCCTCTGAAGGACATCAGCCTCCTCCGAAGGACCTCAGCCTCCTCTGAAGGACATCAGCCTCTTCCGAAGGACATCAGCCTCCTCCGAAGGACATCAGCCTCCTCTGAAGGACCTCAGCCTCCTCTGAAGGACATCAGCCTCTTCCGAAGGTCATCAGCCTCCTCCAAAGGACCTCAGCCTCCTCTGAAGGACCTCAGCCTCCTCTGAAGGACATCAGCCTCCTCTGAAGGACCTCAGCCTCCTCCAAAGGACCTCAGCATCCTCTGAAGGACATCAGCCTCCTCCGAAGGACATCAGGCTCCTCTGAAGGACCTCAGCCTCCTCTGAAGGACCTCAGCCTCCTCTGAAAGACCTCAGCCTCCTCTGAAAGACATCAGCCTCCTCTGAAGGACATCAGCCTTCTCTGAAGGACCTCAGCCTCCTCTCAAGGACATCAGCCTCCTCCGAAGGACATCAGCCTCCTCTGAAGGACACCAGCCTCCTCCGAAGGACATCAGCCTCCTTAGAAGGACCTCAGCCTCCTCTGAAGGACCTCAGCCTCCTCTGAAGGACACCAGCCTCCTCCGAAGGACATCAGCCTCCTTAGAAGGACCTCAGCCTCCTCTGAAGGACCTCAGCCTCCTCTGAAGGACATCAGCCTCCTCTGAAGGACATCAGCCTCCTCCGAAGGACATCAGCCTCCTCTGAAGGACATCAGCCTCCTCTGAAGGACCTCAGCCTCCTCTGAAGGACATCAGCCTCCTCTGAAGGACATCAGCCTCCTCTGAAGGACCTCAGCCTCCTCTGAAGGACATCAGCCTCCTCTGAAGGACATCAGCCTCCTCTGAAGGACCTCAGCCTCCTCTGAAGGACCTCAGCCTCCTCTGAAGGACATCAGCCTCCTCTGAAGGACATCAGCCTCCTCTGAAGGACCTCAGCCTCCTCTGAAGGAGGACAGGTACTTGAAGCTGTCACCAGCTCAATGTCCTCCCCCTGGATGTTCAGCAGCGTGTGGGAAAGTGGTCTTTCCTGAAGTTCCGTTAAATATATTGAATATATTTTAATGTACTGTGATTATTTATAATACAATACAGTACTTTGTTTAGCACTTTGAGTTGCGTTGTGTATGAATAAACTTGCCTTGCCTCACGACCTGTCTGACCATGGGAGTAGACCTGTCAATTTCTACTTTTTTCTTAGATTTTTTTACCCCTGTTTTTGAGTGGTTCCTTGCTGATGCTGGAGGGTCAAAGGACAGTGATGATCCGGGACATCCTGCTCCCAAAGGACCAATGGCTTCTTGTCTTTGTTATCAATGCATTTCTTGTGTTTGAATAGTTTTATTCTTGGATCTGTTGTCGGAGAATCAAGAACTTGGTAAAGTCCTCCGAGACGACCGCAGTAATGATTCAGGGCAATACAAAAATACATTGAATTGGATTTTTCATTAGTTCTTACGGCTTAAAAGCATCAACAGTTACTTCTGATTGAGACAAACTCTAGTTATGTCCACAGCCTCACATCAGTTCTATTATGCACGACGCGTCATCAGGGAACTATTGACTTTAACACAGCGCTCTAAACCATCCGCATATATCTTCAACCTTGTGTGCTTTTTCCCTCTTCACAAATGCAACCTCCATCCCCCGGCGGACGGTGGTCTGCGCAGGTGAAGGTTGTCACGCTGTTATTTGCTCCGTTCCCCTAAAAGCAGCGCATGCTTTTGATCAGCGACTCCCACAAACAGCCGGGAGCACCTCTCTGCTCGCCATCGCACGTCTGCGCTCTCTTCAAAACCTCTTTTTTTCCCTTTCCCTGTAGTCTGAGGTGGAAAGGTAAAGGTGCAGAGCTAGAGCTGCAGTCTCAGGGCTGCACTGTGGTGATTGCTCCTGGACGACTGGAGCTGTGCTGATCATTACTATACAATACAATAGACTTTATTTTTGTAAAGCCCTAAATCTCAACATCAGTTTAACAGACTCCTGCATCAGAGGAAAAACTCTAAAACCCAGTTGGAAAAAGTGAGAAACCTCAGGGAGATCCACAGAGAGGGATCCGCTCCACACGGACGGACAGGCTGTAGATCCAGGACTCAGACTGTAGAACGAGGACTGAGGCTGTAGATCCAGGACTCAGACTGTAGCACGAGGACTGAGGCTGTAGATCCAGGACTCAGACTGTAGAACGAGGACTGAGGCTGTAGATCCAGGACTCAGACTGTAGAACGAGGACTGAGGCTGTAGATCCAGGACTCAGACTGTAGCACGAGGACTGAGGCTCTAGATCCAGGACTCAGACTGTAGAACGAGGACTGAGGCTGTAGATCCAGGACTCAGACTGTAGCACGAGGACTGAGGCTCTAGATCCAGGACTCAGACTGTAGCACGAGGACTGAGGCTGTAGATCAGGGGTGCTCAAAGTGGGGCCCGCGGGTCAAAGTTGGCCCGCCAGATCATTTCAGTTGGCCCGCCGAACGTTTTCTATTTTGCATATTGAAGTACTTGTGCACGTAGCTATTGCCAGAGCAACACGCCGCCGCCTTCATTCATACATTTTGTTGCCTGTGTCAGTGTGCGTTAATGACCAGAAAGTAAGTACCATGTGTGATTTGTTGATATATATGTGCAGCTTCAGCCATATGTCTGTATTTACACTTAACAGACTTTACTCCTGTTTTCTTGAGTCTCAGTTTATCATTTGTGATGTACGTACCTCAAGTAAGTAAGTAAGTAAGTAATCTTTATTTAGTCCGCAGGTGTAGATGGAGGAGGGCAGGTTCAGAGGTCCTGTCGTCCCGCATCTTATTCAGTGCATTTACTCATGCACTGAATAAGTCAAACATGTCTCAAATTTGGCAAGATGTTTCTTAAATAAGCACAATTGTCCAAAAGGTACAACGCAAAATTATTCTGTTTTAAAAATATATTAAAATGTTTCTTTATATGAATGCTCAAAACTAAGATATAAGAACTGCTACTACTGAACCAGTGACGCTGATTCTGATGTTGCTCAGGCTCATTATGATCATATTCTGACAGTGATTCAGCAGACTCATAAATCTGTACATCAAGTTTCTAAAGACAGAATCCCAGGAGAAACAAATAAGTGGCTGGCACTCTCCCACCGAGGTCTTTTCAACAGAATTCTTAAGCCGTCATTGTACGCCACACTTAGCCTCCATCTGGTCGATTGTTTGTTGTTGATAAAACTCTTGTCTATTCAGCTGTTATGGTCCCAGCTGGATTCGTCTGCATATCTGGCAACCTGAGTCAGGGAGAGTGAGGGTGGCTGCAGTACCACTTTTGGCCACATTTTTACACACTGCTCCTTTAATACTCACCAAATGGTTTCCTTTCCAACTTATACCAAACTTCTATCACTTTGCACAGACTCATGTTATTGATGATATAGGCTTTTATAATTGGACAATCAGGTCCAGTTCAAACCTGCGCCACCTTTGCATCAGCACGTCTGCCTTCCCAACTTCCACCACTAGAGGGCCGTGTGTCTCAAGTCAAGATCAAGAGATTTGACCCACAGAGGATTCTCAAAGCTCCAATTAACTTCTGCACTGGGTCAAACGCCACCTTTATATATGACTGTAGAATGTCTGTGTCATGTCCTAAGACCAGAGCGAAGACCGGAGCGGAGACCTGAGTGGAGACCTGAGTGGAGACCAGAGCGGAGACCAGAGCCAAGACCAGAGCAGAGACCAGAGTCGAGACCAGAGCGGAGACCAGGATGTAAGATAAGATAAGATTAGATAAGATAAGATTTGCTTTATTTATCTCACATAGGAGAAATTTACATGTCACATTTGGCATGGATAGAAACACTCAGATTGTGCAAAGGGAGGAAATGTGCAAACATGTTACATGCAGGATATATGTACAATAAAGTGACAATAATTATGTACAACAAAAGTGACAAGTGTCAATTGGAAACAGTGTCAATAGTAGTGCAGGTTTTCACACAGTGATCATTTAAAGTGACTTATTGTACAGTCTGACAGCGGTGGGGCCCTGCGGTAGCGCTCCTTCCTACACTGAGGGTGCCTCAGTCTTCCACTGAAGGAGCTCCTCAGCTCCTCTACAGTCCTGTGCAGTGGGTGGGAGGTATTGTTCATGATGGAGGTGGCTTTGGCTAGCACCCTCCTGTCCCTCACCTCCTCCACAGAGTCCAGGGGCCTCCTGTCCCTCACCTCCTCCACAGAGTCCAGGGGCCTCCTGTCCCTCACCTCCTCCACAGAGTCCAGGGAGCAGCCCAGAGTGGAGCTGGCCCTCCTGACCAGCTTGTTCAGTCTGTTTCTGTCCCGCTCTGTGCTGCCCGGGGCCCAGCACACGGCAGCGTAGTAAATGGCAGAAGCTACCACAGAGTCATAAAAAGTCCTGAGCAGAGGCCTGCTCACTCCGAAGGACCTCAGCCTCCTCAGAAGGAAGAAGCGACTTTGGCCCTTCTTGTGCAGGGCGTTTGTATTATGGGACCAGTCCAGTTTATTGTTAATGTGAACACCCAGGTACTTGAAGCTGTCCACCAGCTCAATGTCCTCCCCCTGGATGTTCAGCAGCGTGTGGGAAAGTGGTTTTCTCCTGAAGTCGATGATCATCTCCTTGGTCTTACTGGTGTTCAAGCACAAGTGGTTGCGCTCACACCAGTCGACAAAGTCCTTGATAACCGACCGATATTCCAGTTCGTTCCCCTCAGACACACAGCCCACGATGGCGGAGTCGTCTGAGAACTTCTGCAGGTGACAGCTGTGTGTGTCGTGTGTGAAGTCTGAGGTGTAGATGGTGAAGAGAAACGGTGAGAGGACAGTGCCCTGAGGGGCCCCAGTGCTGCAGACGACCACCTCAGACTCACAGCTGCGCAGCCGCACGTACTGTGGTCGGTCTGAGAGGTAGTTGATGGTCCATGCAGTGAGGCTACTGTCCACTCCCGCGTCCTCCATCTTCCCCCGCAGCAGTCCCGGCCTGATGGTATTGAAAGCGCTGGAGAAGTCGAAAAACATGACCCTCACAGCGCTCCCGGTGGGCTCCAGGTGGGAGAGCGTCCGCTGCAGGAAGTAGATGATGGCGTCCTCTACTCCGATGTTGGGTCTGTAGGCGAACTGCAGCGGGTCCAGGGTGGGGCTGACCACGGAGCGGAGATGGGTGAGGATGAGCCGCTCCATGGTCTTCATCAGGTGGGAGGTCAGTGCTCCATGGTCTTCATCAGGTGGGAGGTCAGTGCTCCATGGTCTTCATCAGGTGGGAGGTCAGTGCGACTGGTCTGTAGTGAGCCGGTTCCTTGGCGTGTGCTGTTTTTGGGACCGGGATCACACAGGAGGTCTTCCACAGGACAGGGACCTTCTCCAGGCTGAGGCTCAGGTTGTACATGTAGCTGAAGACCCCAGAGAGCTGGTCTGCACAGGTCCTCAGCAGCCTGGGACTGATCCCGTCCGGTCCTGCGGATTTCCTCAGCTTCAGGCGCTGGAGCTGACTCCTCACCTGGTCCGGTGTGATGGAGAGGGGGGGGGACTGGGGTGTACTGTCCGAGGTGGGGGCTGGGGATGCGGGGGCAGGAGGGCCCGGGGCAGCCGGAGGCAGTGTCCACTGGGCTGGGGACGTGTGAAGAGGTGGGGGCGGGAGGGGGGGCAGATGGAGAGGGGGGAGAATCAAACCGGTTGAAGTACTGGTTAAATTCATCCGCCCGGTGCTGTCCCTCTGGCACTCTGTCCAAAGCCGGAGATGTTCTTTAGGCCTCTCCACACGTCGCGGGCGTTTCCCTGGGCCAGCTTCTGCTCCAGCTTTTTCCCATAGTCCTTCTTGGCCCTCCTGATCCTCCACTGGAGCTCGTGCTGGATCCTCTTCTGCTCCTCCCTGTCCCCTGAAATGAAAGCCCTTTTCTTGAGGTTCAGGAGGGCTTTAAGCTCAGGGGTCACCCATGGGTGGTTGTTAGAAAAACACCGCACCTTCTTAGTTGGTACAGTGTTATCCACACAGAAGAGAATATAGTCTGTAATGCAGTGTGTCAGGCTCTCGATGTCCTCTCCATGAGAGCTGCAGATCATTTCCCAATCAGTGTTTTGAAAACAATCTCTCAGCATCTCATCCACATCATCGCTCCACACTTTTACAATCCTCTTCTGCGCTGGATTTCTTCTCACCACTGGTGTGTATTCCGGAGACAGACGGACCAGGTTGTGATCAGAGCGTCCGAGAGGGGGGAGGGGGGAGGAGGCGTATGCGTCCCGCACATTAACATACAGTAGGTCCAGAGTGTTATTGCCACGAGTTGGGCACGTGACATACTGTTTGAATGTCGGGAGAGTGGCGGAGAGGGAGGCGTGGTTAAAGTCTCCGCTGATCAGAATCAGAGCGCGGGGACTGCGGGTCTGGATCTGGGTCACAGTTAGACCAGAGCGGAGACCAGAGCGGAGACCAGAGAGGAGACCAGGGTGGAGACCAGGGTGGAGAACGGAGCGGAGACCGGAGCGGAGACCGGAGCGGAAACCGGAGCGGAAACCGGAGCGGAGACCGGAGCGGAGACCGGAGCGGAGACCGGAGCGGAGACCGGAGCGGAGACCGGAGCGGAGACCAGAGCCAAGACCAGAGCGGAGACCAGAGTGGAGACCTGAGCGGAGACCAGAGCCAAGACCAGAGCAGAGACCAGAGCGGAGACCAGAGAGGAGACCAGGGTGGAGACCAGGGTGGAGACCGGAGCGGAGACCGGAGCGGAGACCAGAGCCAAGACCAGAGCGGAGACCAGAGTAGAGACCAGAGTGGAGACCAGAGCGGAGACCAGAGTCCAGACCGGAGACCAGAGCCAAGACCAGAGCCAAGACCAGAGCCAAGACCAGAGCAGAGACCAGAGTCGAGACCAGAGCCAAGACCAGAGCGGAGACCAGAGTCCAGAACAGAGCCAAGACCAGTGCCAAGACCAGAGCGGAGACCGGAGTGGAGACCGGAGCGGATACCAGAGCGGAGACCAGAGCGGAGACCAGAGTCCAGAGCGGAGACCAGAGTCCAGACCGGAGACCAGAGCCAAGACTAGAGCGGAGACCCGAGTGGAGACCAGAGTCGAGACCAGAGCGGAGACCAGGGTGGAGACCAGAGCGGAGACCTGAGTCGAAACCAGAGCGGAGACCAGAGCGGATACCAGGGTGGAGACCAGAGAGAGACAGGAGCGGAGACCGGAGTGGAGACCAGAGCGGAGACTAGAGGTGATACCAGGGTGGAGACCAGAGCGGAGACCAGAGTCGAGACCCGAGCGGAGACCTAAGCGGAGACCCGAGTCGAGATGGGAGCGGAGACCAGAGTCGAGATAAAGGTGGAGACCAGAGTCGAGACCGGAGTGGAGAGTTAAGACCGGAGTGGGGACTGGAGCGGAGACCAGAGCGGAGTCCAGAGGCCGAGACCAGAGCCAAGACCAGAGCCAAGACCAGAGCGGAGACCAGAGCGGAGACCAGAGCTGACATAAAGACGCCTATTTCCTCCGTTGAAATGTATGTGCCACAGACATAGGAAGATTCAAAACACACAGAACCGTCGGTGCATTGGGGGCAGAGACCAATGTCCATAAATGTAGATTAAGTCCATAAATGTGGTTGAATGTCTGGTGTCCTGGATCAGCACCACTCCAGGTAAAGACTGGACTCAGCTCTTACACCCCTGACCTGGATGATCACAGCTGCAGACAGACACATGTTTTAACTACTTTAAAGGAGCAGTATGTACAAATCTGGCCAAAAGTGGTACTGCAGCCTCTCCCACTCTCCCTGACTCAGGTTGCCAGATATGCAAACGAAACCATACCATATCTGAAAAAAGAGTTCTGTCAACAACAAATCTATAACCAACACCTTTTTCACAAAGATAGAAATCCTGGTTTTATTCCTTGTTTTGTCGTTAATGATTTGAGAATCAGAACGAGACCGTTTTTAGTTCAGCGCCACATGGTACTTTACCAGTGAGATTAGCTCCACACGGAAAGTTCTGGGGCCCGGATCACGGACTTTCTGATTTTAAAACGGTGGAGGGCGGGACATCGAAATGAAAACACATGAAGAAATTTAGAGGCTGTAAAACCTATTTTGTAAATCTAAATATCTCTGAACTACTGTTGTCAGTTAAAGAAGTAATTGAAAAGAGAATGTTTTATCAAAGCCTTTTGACAGATTAGGGCCCTTTAATGATGACTTGACATGAAAATCTTACATATTTCTACTTTAATAATTTGTATTCACTTGAAAAACACCAAAACCCGGTAGAAAGAGGGTCCTCACTGTGCAGCTCCAGGCCTGCAGAAGCACAGTCCTTTTCATGTGCCCAGCAACGGCCGATGACATTTTGAAGTCGGCTTCTCATTTCAGGGTCTTGGATACACAGCAGAGAAAAAGGTTGAAAAATAGCCAAAGGGGTCGCACTTGCTTTTCTCTGTTTACATCGATGTGATCCAGCTCGCTAATGGGACCCGCTACGGCAGCCCGCGGACACACTCCCGAGACGCCACAATGGGAAAAACAGCCCGGCTGAAGCCCTGTGCGGAGCGGAGGTGAAAACAAAGAGAGGAGACTGGGAAGGCTGGTCATATAAAGAGCTAATGGTGAGCTATTTAAAGGGGACATAACATGCAGACCTTTCACAGCTGTGTTCTCCTGTCATTCACACATGGCGGGGTTGCCAAGGGGTGGACAATTTTTGGTAAATTTCTCTTAAATTTTAATGGAAAGTTAAGCTGGGAATTTTGGAACTATTTAAAGAAGTTGAAAAGGCCCTCTCCTCCAAAACATCCCACATTGGACAGTGTCGAACAGCGTTTAGCGTCAGACTCATCAGCTTGCTAAATACCAGATTTTATATTTACAATAAAAAACATAAAATCAATATATTTCCCCATGATATCATTACACTTTTTTTGAAACAGGCTCAAAAATGTGGCTTCAATCGTTGTTGAAAGTGTGGTCCAGTCTAGTAGAAATCTTCTGAACATATGATGGAGGTACAGGGCCAGTAGGGGGCGTGGTCTCAAAAGCCATGCGGTAAACAGTGATTGATTCATGTGTATCTAAACGGCATCTGTTTGTTTCTGTCAAGATTAAGCTGAAATATTCGTTCCTCAACTATATTTAAGTTTTGATTAATTCCCTCAGATTCCCATATATTTCCATGGAAAGTAAGTAAGTAATGTTTATTTATATAGCGCATTTTTACAGACCAAGGTCACCCAAAGTGCTTTACAAAGTTCAGATGTCGTTCCAATCATTCCAAACACGGTGACGAAAACCAAAAGTTCCCATCTTTGAAAATTGCTGGAATTTTGCCATTCAATTCAGATGCACACGGTTATTTCCAGCACTATTCCCCCCTGTTAGAGTCATGTATCTTGTTCACAAAGAAGCAACACACCTGGCCCGATCAGTTAGCACAGACTCACTTCTCTGTGCTGCCTCCGGGATGCAACACAACTCTTCAGCAGATACACAACATTAAGGTAGAAGCCCCTTCAGCCACAGCCGCTCGTAGCAACCAGTGTGGGCGGGTCCCGGCTCAAAAGTGGCCAAAATGACGTGCGCTGACATGCTGCAATACCACCCCGGGCCTGTGGGAATTAATCAATGCAAATGTACGTATCTTCTTACCTCTCGAAAACGTCTTTACAGAATGGTCCAAAAGTTGGCTCTTGGCCCAAAGCTCCGTTCCACATGTGTGTCAATGCTGAGGGGGTGTTTGGACCAGTCTAGTTTAGTCGCTGTGAATTTTTGAAGTCTCTCGTTCAAATGAATGGAGCTGCGCCGGCTGACACATGCACAAATGCGTTTTTTCACAATTTTCTTGTGGGCGGGACCACTTGCGGCCATTTTGGATAGCTCCGGTAGAGCACATTTTTTGGCCCATTTGTTAGAACGGCGGAGATAGGCGTGACTCTGTCCGTTAATATATACAGTCTATGGTAACAACCTGTAATGTATGTATAGTTTTATTGTTCTTCTCCTGTGTTATATGTATGTGACAGTAAGGCAAGGCAAGTTTATTTGTGTAGCACAGTTCATACACAAGGCAACTCAAAGTGCTGAACAAAACAAGATAGAGAGACAAGGCATTATAATCATTAATAATCTCAGTACATGGAGAACAAAAGGTAAAATGCCTTGGTTAAAAACTGAACTGTTTTTAACCTGGATTTGAACATTGTCAGAGAATAAGCCTGTCTCACATTTTTAGGAAGACTTAAAGTTTTAGTTGTGTAAATCTGAACTGCATACTCCCCATGTTTAGTTCTGACTCAAGACACTTCCCCCACATCAGAATGAGTCTGGTGTGCGTGTGAGTGGTTGGTGGTGGTGGGAGGGGCCAATGGCACAGACTGGTTGCCTCCCTTCTGTTGGTGTGGCCCAGGGCAGCTGTGGCTACTGTTATAGTTCATCACCACCGTGTATGGAGTGAAGCCTCTTTGAGTGTCCAAAAAAGCGCTATATAAAACCAATGGATTATTATTATTATCAACCGATCCCTTCAGTTCTGTCCATGATGCAACAGCTCAGGATTCAGATCAAAGAGACCTACAGACCTCCGTGAACACTCTGTGCAGAATCTGTCCGATATGTTACATCATCAACCTTTTAACACATCGATTGTCTCCTAACACATTCTGACCCTTTCTTGCGTCAAAGCATAAAACTTACATCGACTTGTGCGCAGATACTTAAACGTGGTCGTACTCTGACTCTGAGGTTGTAAAAGGTTTTCTTTGAGGTTTGATCCTGCCTGTATCGCTGAATAGTTTCTTGATGGAGTATTTCTGCCTAATTCCGGTCCTCAGAATGCTGGTGGACCAACCGCTCAACTGCAGCCTGGGCCTGAAGAGATTTTCCCACCCAACTTTTTAGTAAGAGGCCACTTTGGTGTGCCAAAAATGAACAGGGGCAGACAACTTGGGTTAACTGAATTAAGGCTGTTCTGAGTGTAACCCAGTAGAGAAAATGGGTCATGTTCTCTTTCTTTTTCTGTATTTATGTGTATGTACTCTTATTTTGAAAGGAGGAAGTGGGATTCTCTCGCTAAAACTTTATTATCCTGTTTTGCGGTCATGTTGAGTGTTGATGACCTTGTGATTGGTTAAAAGAGGTATTAGTCCCGCCCCCCTAGTGGTGGACTGGATCTTTCGAGAGTTTTCTGTCTTTTGCACTCTGGGAATGATCGAGACAAGATGTAGACGGTCAGCGCTAAACTCTATGGGTCGTCTGGTGAGTTTGATTTAAAAAAATGGTGTAAATGTTTAAATTGTCTTTTTGTTGATTTGGGAATGTTTGTCGTATTAAGTGGACGGAGCACGAGCTGGAGAGACAGTGTTGTTGTGCCCTTGCTGTGTTCCTCACGATACCTCATCTTGGTAAGTCAATGCCTTGTGAGGGCTAGAAAAACGTGCTCGCACAATGCTAATACTGGCGCGATGCTAACGCTAATTGCGAGTGCCGTTTTTTGATGTTTGAAAACAATATAAAAGTTATTTTTGGTTCAAATATGGTTTCTACCTTATTCTATGTAGTTCATAACAACACTGAGAAGCACTTTTGGTTATTTTTGTACTATTTTTGGTCCAATGTAAATATTATTATGAAGTTGATCGTACATTTTTATGGTTTATTACATGGAAGTGTACAGTATTTCTTCTGTAATGCTAAACCCAGAAGCACAGATAAGCTTTTACTGATACAATTGTTGATTTTGGAGTAGAATATCTGAATTCATTTGTATCATTCATTTTATGAGTTACAAAAAGTAAAAAAATCATTGAAAAACGTATATGCTAATTGTTTAAAAGTATTTAATCATAGTGTTATGGTTGGATAATTGTGTACAAAAGGATAAAGTGATCAATTCATTTGTTGCATGAAGAACTATTTCATGAAATATAAAAAGGATAGTTGAGTTCAAAACATGCATGTAAAATATTACTGTATACTAAGTGATATGGTAATAGAGAAAAAGATTAAGCCATAGCAGAGATAGGATAACAGCTGTAAACAATAATACCATTATTGTTGTGCAGGATAATTTTTCATGGTAAAGAAAACCTGGATGGAAGACCTGGATTCTCGCCGGATGGAGATGGCGAGCCTGAACCACCATCGTTCCTTAGTGCCGAGTGGTACCACTTTAAATAACCACTGTGAAGGAAAAGAACTGTACTATAAAGACTAACTGAGCTCAATGGGACTGGGGATATATTTTTGTTTTGAATATGCCGGCAATGCTCATATTTAAACACTGTATCTAACTGCTTTATTTTCATTTGTTTGATAAATAACCTTTTCGCTACTTTGTTGTTGCCTCCTGCCATTTCATTAAGCATTCCCCTTAGTTCCTGTTGTTGAACCTAGCACCTGGTCTATGCTTTTAATTCCACCTTACCTACGCTAACGTGAGTCAAGGGTTACATGAGCGTTAAGATTAGGTGTGAAAGGTCTACAGTAGGTCCCATTTCGTTTTGTCGCCTTTCACGCGTGAATCACACGAGACTCACGTGTGATTCACGCGTCTTTTATTTATTTTTTCCCCAGTGATGCTGCAATGACCCAAACAACCACCAGGTGGCACTTGTGAGCAGGGTTAGGAAAATTGGCTTCTCGTCGCTCTTTCTTCTCTGTTCACCGGACAACTTTCTGTGGCTTTATAGCTCAATGATAAGGCGGTGGACTCTGGTGTGAGAGGACTTGGGTTCAAGTACAGTCTATGACACTTTTGATTTTGTTGACGTTTAAATTTTTTCTAAAACATACTGTAACGTGCCACAGCAGTGTTCCGTTTGTCAGGTTTATTGTTATGTTGACTGTTAAGTGTTGCACCATGACTGAGCTCACCATGTTAATTGATAGGGTCCTATGCTTTCAGTGTGTTAGGAGTCTAATGTTAAAACTGCAATAAAACTGCCTTCTCGGGGTCTTGCGGTGTATGTGGCACGAGTTGAGCAAAGAAACTCTATCTCCCGTGACTTATTTGACTAAAACGTCACATTGGTGTCAGAAGTGGGATAATTCCCATAAAAAGTGAAGAAATGGAGAGAGAGATTGAAGAGCTGGAACGCGCAGTACTGGAAAACTGCCGTCTTCTTGAGGAGGTTGAAGGAGCCAAGCCCAAGAGATTTCAGGAGAGACATGCTGCAGATGGGTACAGTACTGCAAGGCCACAGCGCCCTCTGGAGGCTGGTTGGACTCCTCCACACTCCGCTTCAGAGAACCAGAGCACAGAGAGACCACAGCGCCCCCTGGAGGCTGGTAGGACTAGTCCACACCACACTTCAAGTAAACAGACCATATTGAGGCCACGACGCCCCCTGGAGGCTGTCAGGAAAGATATAAGCTCTCAAACAGGCAACATAGAGCAGAATGTCCAAGTGAATGACTTACTAGGGGGGGGCTCAGCACATACTCAGAGGCAAACTGTGATAACACATGCCCCAAGACAGATGATTACACCAAAGACCCCTGCTAAACTACCCAAGTACAGTGGAACCACACCAGTAGAGCCCTTCCTTGCCCAAGTTAGACTAGCATCATGGCATAGTGGCTGGAGCGACGATGAAACTGCCACCCACCTTGCCTTGGCATTAGAAGGTGTCGCCCTTCAAATTCTCCTTGACTTGTCCCTAGAGGATCAGCAAGATTTACAGGCCCTGATGATTGGTCTCGAACGGCGCTTTGGAAAGCGCCTGCATGCGGAAGAGAGCAGGGAGCAGCTGAGTGGCCTATATCGGAAGGAAGGGGAAAACTTGGGTACCTTCGCGGCCAATATACAATTCCATACCCAGCGTGGTTACCCACAGTTTCCAGTTGCTGCACGTGACGAACTCGCACTTCATGCATTTCTCCAAGGTCTTACCCCAGAAAGGCTACGTCAATATGTGCGTCTTGCTCGCCCTCGCTGCCTGAATGAAGCTCTCCAGGAAGCTGAACGGGCGGAGATAGTGCTCTCCACACGGCCAAACCTGGGAAGGGCCACAAATATGCTGCAGCGAGTTCGCCATGTGGATTATGAAGAAGTCGGAGTTGAAGAAGTTTATCAGCTCCGTACTCCAGCCCCCAGGGGGCGTCGCAGAACTGCCACCGATCGCTGTTTTCGCTGTGATGAACCCGGACACTTAGCTCGAAACTGCCCTGCACCATCCCCAAAAGCTAGGGAGCCACAGCCAACGGGAAACGATCGGGGGGTGGAGTAGAGAGGAAGACCCCACCCCAAAAACCTGCACCTCTACAAGGACAATGCACTGTGGTGGGCCAACCTGGTTGCTCAAAAGGACTGTACTTGGATTGCGTTGTAGATGGCCAACCCTGTCGTGCACTGATTGATACAGGGTCCACTATCTCGCTCGTACAGCCAGGAGTACTCCCTGGTACAACAGGCCCACTTTCCACCTCCTGGTCACCAACACACATGCAGCTCACCACTGTCACAGGAGAGAGGGCAGGTATGCAAGGAAAAAAAAGTGTGCGGATTGAAGTTCAAGACCAAATGTTGGAACACGAATTCTGGTTAGCGCGAATACAGGACCCTTGTATCATTGGATTAGACTTGTTAGTTCACTGGGGTGCTGTGGTTGACCTTGTGAAGTCGACCCTCACTCTTGGGCCTCTCACAGTTGATCTCCAGCCTGAAAAGCGGACAAGAAAGAGGCAGAGAACCCGGAAAGTCAGTCCAAGGGGGGTGGTTCCAGCGGTGGCGGTCCAGATCCAGGCGGTCCCAGCGGCGGGTCGGGGTCCAGCGGCGGTCCAGGGGGTCCCAGCAGCGGCAGTCCCGGTGGTCCAGGCAGTCAGGTCCAGGCGGTCCAGGCGGTCCCGCGCGGCGGGTCCAGGCGGTCCAGCGGCGCGGTCCAGGGTCCCAGCGGTGACGGTCCAGGCGGTCCCAGAAGCGGCGGTCCAGGCGGTCCCAGCGGCGGTCCAGGCGGTCCCAGCGGCGGCGGTCCGGGTGGTCCAGGCGGTCGAGGTCCAGGCAGACGAGGCCCAGGCGGTCCTAGCGGCGGCAGTCCAGGCGGTCCCAGTGGCGACGGTCCAGGCGGTCCCAGCGGCGGCAGTCCAGGTGGCCGAGGCAGTCGAGGTCCAGGCGGTCCCAGCAGCAGCGGTCCAGGCGGTCCCAGCGGTGACGGACCAGGCAGTCCAGGTCCAGGCGGTCCCAGCAGCGGTGGTCGAGGTCCAGGCGGTCGAGGTCCAGGCAGTCCCAGAACCGGCGGTCCCAGCGGCGGTGGTCCCAGATGTGGCGGTCCCAGCAGTGGCGGTTCCAGCGGTGGTCCCAGCAGCGGTCCAGGCGGCAGATCACCGCTCTCCAACACCGGCTGGCGCTTGCACAGCCAGTCCCCGTGCCATACCACCCCCACCCACGGAGACTGTGAATGCTGTCAAAGAGCTGTGGCAGCGCAGTAGTGAGGGCCTAGATCAGTGTCAAAAAGAGCAGTTGAGACATCTCTTGGACAGGTATGTGGACATCTTTGCCGCTCGAGATGAGGACTGTACACAAACTCGGCTTGTCCAGCACTCTATTGACACTGGTTCGGCCCCCCCAATACGCCTTAGGCCCCATCGGCTCGCCCTTTCAAAGAGACAGTTAGCAGAGGACATGATCCACAAAATGCTTGCGGCTGGAATAATAGAACCATCCAGCAGTCCTTGGGCAGCTCCAGTAGTTCTTGTGCGCAAGAGATTGGGTGGGTGGCGGTTCTGTGTGGATTACCGTCGTCTCAACGCGGTCACAAAGAAGGACTCTTATCCACTACCCCGCATCGACGATGCTCTGGATTACATTAGTGGATCAAGTTGGTTCAGCTCCCTCGACATGCGAAGTGGATATTGGCAGGTGGAGCTCAGCCCCCAGGCCAGGGCAAAGACTGCATTCACATTCGGGCAAGGACTCTGGCAGTTTCGTGTAATGCCATTTGGCCTGTGCAATGCGCCGGCCACGTTCGAGCGTCTCATGGAGCGGGTGCTCGCCGACATTCCTCGCAGCCATTGTGTGGTGTACCTGGATGACCTGCTGGTCCATGCGAGTGATTTCAGCAAAGCTTTGGGCCACCTGAGCGGCGTCTTCAGTGCTATTCGTCACGCTGGTCTGCGGCTGAACCCTGCCAAGTGCCACCTTCTGCAGAGAGAGACTACTTTCCTGGGTCATGTGGTCAGTGCTGAAGGAGTAGCGACTAACCCAGAGAAAGTAGCGGCTGTCCAGGATTGGCCGATCCCGGTTAACGTACGTGACCTCCGCAGTTTCTTGGGACTGGCGTCCTACTATCGCCGCTTTGTCAGGAACTTTGCCTCTGTCGCAGGGCCCCTACACCGCCTGACGGACAAAGGAAAGCCTTTCGCTTGGACTAACAGCTGTGACACTGCTTTCAACCAGCTAAAAGCAGCCCTCACAGCCGCGCCCATCCTTGCGTACCCGCACGTAGATCTCCCCTATGTGGTGGACACAGACGCTAGTGGGCACCGGAATTGGGGCTGTCCTTTCACAGCAGGGAGGCGAAGGAGAGCGAGTAGTGGGGTACTACAGTCGCGCTCTCAGTCGTGAGGAGAGGAACTACTGTGTCACACGCCGAGAGCTGTTAGCCGTAGTGATGGCAGTACACCATTTTCGCCCCTATTTGCACGGCAACAAGTTCCTCCTGCGCACAGATCATGCCTCACTGACCTGGCTTTTAAGTTTCAAGCAGCCAGAGGGACAAGTAGCTCGTTGGCTGGAAGTTCTCCAAACTTACGATTTTGACATTCAACATCGCCCTGGACAACAACACAATAATGCGGATGCCCTGTCACGACGCCCGTGTGTTATAGCAGAGTGTCGTTACTGCGAGCGCCAGGAAGAGCGGGATCGGGACAAGCCGAGGGTTTCCACTGCCACAATTAACCCCCCTGATGACCTGTCTTCAGAACAGCTGCAGCAACAGCAAGAGTCCGATACCACCCTGGCCCTGATCAGGAAGTGGCTGGAACTGCCCAGACGTCCTGAATGGCCGGCAGTCTCCCCCCATGGCACTGATATTAAGGCCTATTACTCTCAGTGGGGAAACATTGAGCTTCGTAACGGCTTGCTGTTCCGGAGGTGGCGGGCTCCAGGGCAGGGCATAGACATCTTACAGTTATTAGTGCCCCGTTCACTTCAACCTCAGGTCCTTCAGAGTGTGCACGGTTCAATCGGCTCAGGCCACTTTGGCATCTCCAAGACCCTCCATCGGCTTCGGGGACGTTTCTACTGGCCCGGCTGCCGACAGGACGTGGAAATACATGTGCATTGCTGTGATTTGTGCACTGCTCGGAAAGGTCCCACCCAGCGCTCACATGCCCCCCTTCAGCAATACCTGGTCGGGGCTCCAATGGAACGAGTAGGTGTGGATATTCTTGGGCCCTTTCCTGTGACCGATACTGGAAACCGCTACGTCCTAGTAGCCATGGACTATTTTACGAAGTGGCCGGAAGCCTATGCTGTACCAGATCAAAGTGCCGCCACAACAGCTGGAAGACTGGTTGATGAGATGTTCACCCGTTTTGGAGTGCCCTCTGAGCTTCATAGTGACCAGGGGCGGAACTTTGAATCCCAGGTGTTCAGTGAAGTTTGCAGACTGCTCGGAATTAAGAAGACGCGGACAACTCCTCTCCACCCCCAAAGTGACGGTCTAGTGGAGAGGTTTAATCGGACTTTGGCTACCCAACTTGCTATCCTGGTCAGCAAGCACCAGCGTGACTGGGACCGTTATCTTCCCCTCGTCCTCTGGGCCTATCGAACTGCAGTCCAGGAGTCCAGTCAGTGCACCCCAGCTGCTCTCATGTTCGGTCGAGAGCTCCGCACACCCGTGGATCTGGTGTTCGGGAGCCCTCCGGAGCCCGAGATTGCAGGAGGGCACGAGATGGACTATTTCCAAAGACTCAGAGAGCACCTGCGGGTGGTGCATGACTATACTCGCCAAGTTCAAGCCAGTTCCGGGGTACGTCAGAAGAGGGCCTATGACAGTCACTGCCGCGGTCAGCCCTTCCAACCTGGGGACAAAGTGTGGGTTTATTGCCCCGATCGAAAGAAAGGTATCTCTCCTAAGCTGTGCAGTCATTGGAGGGGGCCAGCCGAAGTTGTGGCACGCCTGTCCGACGTGGTATACCGTGTACGCATGCCAAACAAGGGCCGTTTTGTGGTATTGCACATAGACCGGCTAGCTCCGTACCGCCCCTATGCTCCTGAGACTGTTGGTGAAGTAGACGGATTACTTGTCCAAGCCCCCCAAGTTCATCTGTCTCCCAGACGCCCAATTCGCCAACGTCGTCAACCTGGTCACTTGAGAGACTATGTGTTATGTGATGGGGTTGTCGGGGACGACTAACCCGCTCTGGTGGGGGTTATGTAACGTGCCACAGCAGTGTTCCGTTTGTCAGGTTTATTGTTATGTTGACTGTTAAGTGTTGCACCATGACTGAGCTCACCATGTTAATTGATAGGGTCCTATGCTTTCAGTGTGTTAGGAGTCTAATGTTAAAACTGCAATAAAACTGCCTTCTCGGGGTCTTGCGGTGTATGTGGCACGAGTTGAGCAAAGAAACTCTATCTCCCGTGACTTATTTGACTAAAACGTCACAATACTTAGTAATTAGGCCAACACATTTAAAATAGTTGCTAGACTGTAGTAAACTGTTTTAAACTTCACAATCTGCACCAACCAAACTGCAGGAAAAAAATGCAACTTTATTCAGTAACGGAGTAATCTGATTCATATACTCCCCCCGCTAATAAAAACTGAGGGTTGACCGGGGCTCGAACCCCGACAATCCTACTACGCCACACAGGCGCTGGAGAAAACACTTGATCTAATAGAAAAGACCGCTGAGTAAATGAGCCGTGCGGATGTGCGGGACGCTTAAAATGCCTTATATGCAAGTTCATGCAAATGTTTGCCATATGATCTGCTACTCCTGTGCATTTTAGAATTCCTAATTAATGGTAGCTATATGTAACATGTGTAGTTTAAATTTTTGTAATTATACACAGCCTATATATTGCTAATCAAAGTAAAAGTATTCAGAATACAGTGTACACTCGTGTACATAACATCATAACTCAATACTTCAAAAACTCATAAACTTGGTACTTCTCTCGGTACTTCAAAAAACTCAGAACTCGGAATACTTTAAAAACTCAGAAAACTCATAAAACATGTTCAGATCTTTCATAAAACTTGTCAACAATCTTCAGTAAAATACCAAACTTCATCCGTCGATGGTGGTTCCAGATATTGCTTTGAAAACAGTCTCTCCCACTTCTTTGTTTTGATTCTTCATTTGGACATGATTTGGACTGAATTGGATTTCTGAATCTGGACACTAAAGCTGAAACGTGTGATTGAAAGACACGTCACAGAAGAATTCCTGGCTCTACACATATGCAGCCTGAAGAAACCAACACGGAGAAGTGGGAGAGACTGTTTTCAAAGCAATATCTGGAACCACCATCGAAAATCAAGAATGTATTGATTCTTTCAATATTCAATGGATTGAATTTTGACCTCCTCTTCTTTTTCTTTCTCTTTATAATTTACTGAAAATTAGATATGTATTAGACATTGCCAGTATTATTCTATCAAATCACGCAGTCTAAATATCCACAACCACCAAGCATTTTTAATGCAAGGAGAAACTTAGGTAACTTTAAACACAAATAAAACAAATGGACCTGTCCGACTCGAGTGTCTATGCTTCGTGTGTCTCTGGTTCTGTCCAAGTGTCTATGATCCGCGTGTCTCGCGTGTCTCCGCCTGTCTGGGTTCTGTCTGCGTATATGTAAATGTAAATGTCTGTCTGTGGTTCTGTTCGGGTGTCTATGGTCCTGTCTGTGGTTCTGTTCGGGTGTCTATGGTCCTGTCTGTGGTTCTGTTCGCGTGTCTATGGTCCGCGCTCGGAGCCCAGACGGCAGTGCGTTCACTGAGCTGTCAGAGCGGGGGTCACAGCAGCTGCTCCCGGGGCCAGAGCGGAGGATGTAACGTAACGTTCGGTTTATCAAAACATATCACAATATTTAACGTATAACACTAGTGAATTTCACCTAGATTTTTTCAGACATTAAAGACAAGATGTTATATAATAATTGTTTAATGAAAAAACAATTTTGCCAAAAAAATGACAATCGACCTATTTTTACTCGGACTCGGCCAGCGTGACATCCGACGGGTTTTCCCAGATCGCATCACATATATACGTTAATGCAATTTAATTATAAAGATTAACATTAGTACAAAATATGTATATATTGTCTGTTATGCTCTTACTTTGAAAAAGCATTCAATAGCAACACATATACATTCACATGCACGGCTTGAACACACAGCCAATTTTACACATTTCCTTTTGACAAGGAAAGAAGATAACAATCTGATAACGTTACGTAATTGCACACAAGCAACCAAAAGATGTGCAACCAAAATGGCCTCAGACAAGAATCGAACCTGGGTTCTCCAGGTCCCAGTCTTAAATGTTAACCACTCGGCCAACATATAATCTCTGGGCTAGTCAGGTTTGCACGCAGTATGATACCTGAGCGTCTAAGTCGCTGGCAGAGCTAAAGCGGACTTAACCTGCCACCTTGTGGCGATAAGATGTAATATTTTTCACGCAGCTGCGTGATTCCCGAAAAGCGTGAATGAAGACGACAAAACGAAATGGGACCTACTGTATATCGGTTCATCTTTGACATACAGTAGCTGAAGTTGGCTGAAGATACCTAATGGTGCGTTCAGACCAAACGCGATTTCTGCGGCCAAAGCGGCGGGTCTACATTGACACAACATGGGGGACGCGCGCCAAGGAGCGGCGAGAGATCACGCGGCGCGATTCGCGCGGCCAGAGCGTGTTTTGAGATGTCAAGCGTTTTGACGCGCGTTTCGCGCGATTCGTGCCTCCAACGCGGCCGCCGCTAGAGTTGAACAATGTTGAACTTTTTGGGAGAATTCGCGTGTGCCGACCAATCAGGAGCTTTCTCCTCCAGTGACGTAGTGACGCATTTCACTACCGGAAAAACACTAGTAGATGACAGCTATGGAGAACACGTCAATTGCTCAGGTCGGTGCTCATTCTGAGCTATATAACACTGCGGACCACAGCTCCGGGACCGAAATAAAAAGGAGCTTGCTTGGAGGAGGGTTAGCGAGGTGGTTGGTGTCTCGGGTAAGTTATTTTAACTTTTCAATGTTGTAAATATTTCCCCGCGAAAAAAACTACTACTTTCCTGCTTACGAGTTGATGTGTTTATTCAGTGGAAGTTTGCAAAAAGCGGTGGAAGAATCTGAGGGACACATATGCTAAGGAGAGCAGGAAGGAGAAGGAGAAGGTGAAGAAGAGTGGTGCAGAAGCAGGGAAAGGCCAGACGTGGAAGTACCTTGTGGTCATGTCCTTCCTTGAGCCCTACATCACTCCCCGTGACAGCTCCGGGAACATGCCAAGGCGAAGGGCCGAGGAGGAGCAGACCACAGGGTACAACCACCCAGAAGAAGAGCCAGAGGAAGCAGCAGCAGCAGGGCTGTCAGGTGCTGAAGGTCGGTGTCATGCAGCAAACAGAGACCTCGAACAGTTGGAAAAAATACATTTCTTTCCTTTCTATTACCCACATTTTGCTGACTTTTACATTTATATTGCTTTCTGTGTATGCATTTCTTTTAATGCTTTCTTAACATCATGGCCAGGTGAAAATAGGCATTGGCTATTTTCAAACCAGGATAGATCTTGATCATGTGTTGTGTTAAATTTCACTTTTCCCTTTTATATGAACAAATCATTTAAATGTACATAATAATGTACATTATTATGTACATATAAATGTCATAAGCGCAATGTACACATGATATGAAATAATTGTATTTCTTGTTTTCTTCTGGCGCAGATACTGCCACCACCACACAAAGTGAGACATCTTGGCCTGAGCTGCCTGCTGCTGCTGCTGCTGCTGCTGCTTCCTCAGCCGGTTCTTCTTCTGTGAGGGCTGGACCTTCCCCTGCTTCTGCACCTACAGGTGTGGCTTTTTTTAATCATTGTTTTATTTTTATTCTTATTACAGGACTGTTCATATAAACAAAATGTTACTGCATAATATGCCAAAATTACCCAAGGGCTGTTACATCAGTGTAGACGACAAATTTACAGAGAAACGACAAGATGTCAAGGCACTACTGGTGGAAAGAAGCTTTGGTCTGATACAACACATCTTCCCTCTTTCTTCGATAAAAACATACTACTGAAATACCTTATGCTATAAAAGTACTGAACAAATACATGCAATGGTTGCCACAAGATGGCAGCTATCCTGTTTAATGCAGACAATAGAGTATTACTTTTTTAACAGCCAATTTCAAATTTCATTGCGAAATACACTTCAGAGATATTAGTTTGTAACTGTCGAAATTTGTGCTTGTGTGAGTAATTTCATTGATAACTGCAATGTTCAAGTTAATTGTAACAAACACACAACTTAAAAGTGTTTTACATGTGTTTAACTATGTCTACACACTCTGGCTTTAATACAGATATTATTTGCTCTCTTCATTTTGCTTTTTTGAAATACATGTTCCACTTTTTAACACTGTGATTGCCCTGTGTTCTTTGTTGGCGGCTCTACGGACGTGGGCCTCTTCCGAGCCCTCTTCCTTGGTGGGCCTTGTCGTAGAATTATATACCCCATGAAGGAGAAAACTCAAAGGTCCTTTGTCTGATCAAAAGCGTAAGTTTATTGTTAACACACGTGCGGAGAGCCAGCACATACACACAAAGGCAGCATGTACCAGCTCTGAGCGCAGAGCTCCGAGTTTCCTGTATACAGGACACACACGAAAGACAGTCACGCCCACAACAGATGGGAGGGGGCCACCGGTGGGGAGGCGCACAGGAAGCGCCGGCGCCATCCCCTGTGGTGACAGTGGCATGGGGGTGTGAACAGACAGACAATGGTAGAAAATGCACACATACAGATGCGAAAGACACAAGGGTGTGACAGACAGCAGGGACCTTCACAAAGCTCAGCATGGCGTCAGAAGGTAGTCTCTGCATTGAAAAGACCTTTTACGTCCGTGTATTTGCTGCGGCTGGTTTTAATGTGATTACTCTAAAAACTGTCATAACACTCCCCTCTTTTGATAATTCAAAACCATTTTTGCATTAATCAGTTAAATACCAGAGGCATCGTAATCACATCACCTTCAAGCTTGAAACACTTAAATTATTGCTGTCCAAAGTGGACAAGAAAAGAAACATGCTTGTCAATAAAAGAAAGAGCACATTATAATAACACCATGGATCCGGACAGC